GACGACGACGAGCGACGCACTGGAAGTTTCCCGAAGCTTCCGGTGGCCTCCTGAAGCCTCTGGAAGCCTCCAGAAGCCTTCTGGAGGTCATCCGAAGGCCTCCAGAGGACCCCGAAAGCATTCGAAGGCGTTTTTGACAACGACGGGCGACCGCGCGCGATGAGGACCGACGACACCGACGACGACGACGACGACGACGACTACGACGACAACGAGGAGCGACGAGGAGTTGTGGCGAGCACATGCCTGCGAAGGCGTCGTTGCCTTCAAGTGGCGTATAAAAGGTATGTTCCTTACCTCTCTCCGCCATCCTCGTCGTCATCGTCGTTCTTTCGCCCTATTGCTCTCTCTCCTACGAACACCACAAGTGCCAGAGAGCACCGCAACCTGCCCGCGACCACCGCCCCGCTTTGCGTATCTCTTTGCGGATCCCAATGAGGACCCCTCTGGCAATCCCTTTGCGCATCCATATGCGGATCCCTATGCGGATGCCTATGCGGATCCCTATGCGGATTCCTATGCGGATGCGTATGCGACTTGCAATGCGGATCTGTATGCGGATCCCTATGCGGATCCCTCTGCAATTCCTCTTGGGATCCCTATGCGGATTCCCACGCAGATCCCCACGCGGATCCCTATGCGGATCTTGATGCTGATTCCTATGCGGATATCTACAAGGATCCCTGGGAATTCCAATGCGGGTCCCTATGCGGATTCCGATGGATATCTCTATGCGATCCCCATGCGGACCCTATGCGAATTTCTGTGCGGATGCCTATGCGGATCCCTATTCGGGGTCACACGAACCTGTTTTTTCCTTCCCGGGATAGCGGCCGTCATCCCCCGCCCCCGCCCAGATAACGTCACGTTCCGCGCAAGCGACGTCCGAGAATACCTAGGGATGACCGAGGCCAGGTAGGAGCAACATGTAGGTGGCGACCTGCACAGCAGCGCCTGTGTACACCACGGTGCTCGCGAGCACCACGGCGCGCGTGTACACCACAGCGCCTGAGTACACCGCAACAGCCGTGTGCAACGCAGCGCCTGTGTACAGCACAGTGCTCGCGTGCACCACAACGCCTGTGTACACCACAGCGCCTGAGTACACCGCAACAGCCGTGTGCAACGCAGCGCCTGTGTACACCACAGTGCTCGCGTGCACCACAACGCCTGTGTACACCACAGCGAATGTGCACACCGCAACAATCATGTACAATACAACGCCTGTGTATACCACAATGTTCGCGTGCACCGCAGCGCCTGTGTACACCACGGCGCCTGTATACACCACAGCATCCGCGTGCAACGAAGCGCTAGAGCAAACCACAGTGCCGCGTGCACAGGACAGGTAGAAGGAGCATGTCGGTAAGGCCCTGCTGCGGACATTTAAACACCACGCCAAGGAAGTGTTGATAATAGAATGCGATGTTCGTCCCTCCTCCCTCCTCCACCTCATCCTCCTCCACCTCATCCTCCTCCCCCTCACTCTCCCTCAGCCTTCCCCCCGTCGTGCGGATCAGCGCTACAGCGCGCGCGCATCTCAGTGAGCACCGCAGAATGATGTATTGAATGAGTCCACTTGGTTCTCAGACAGCTAATTCTGCGGAAGCCTTCTGGATGAAGGTGGAAGGAGCCAGGATGATGCGGGAGGACTCGGGAGGATTCGTAGATCCCACCGCCGCTCTTGTCCATAATGTGTTTCCCAGCTCCTTCATAAAATCTGAAGAATTCATAGACGCCCCATTTTGTCGTATGGAATTCTTCTCACATTCTATATACAACAATGGTGCTCTGTTGCACACGGTTGCTGTGGTGCACGAGGGCACTGTGGTGTACGCAGGCGCTGTGGTGCTCGCACGCACTGTGGCACACACACACACAAGCACTGGCGCCGTGGTGCACGCAGGCACTGTGGTGTACACCGGCGCCCTGGTGCAGATCGCCACCTACATGCTGCTCCTACCCGTCCTCGGTCATGCATAGGTATTCCCAGACGCCGCCAACGTGAAACGTAACGTCATCGGCCCCCTCCCCCGCCCCCCCGCCCAGATGACGGCCGTCATCGACCCAGAATCAAAAATTATCCTGGCGAAAGACCCAACCATATGCAGTTGTAAGTAACGCGTTGTGCGTGCCGCTTTCGGTGGAGCTTCCTATAGGGCCACGAAACTTGTGAAGGACGTGACGCAATGGGTGGGGAAGACGCATGCGGGCGGTGCCACTGGGGCCTTCGGTGGGGCTCCCTATGGGCCACGAAACGCTGCACTGGGTCTGGCAGACGCATGCGGGCGGTGCCCTTCGCTGGAGCTCCCGATGAGGCCACGAAGCGCTGTGCTGGTTGGGGGAGACGCACGCGGGCGGTGCCACTGGGGTCGTTCTGTGGAGCTTCCTACGGGGCCACGAAACGCTGTACTGGGTAGTGGCCGACGCATGCGGGCGGTGCCAGTGGGCGTTTCGGTGGGGCCCACTATGGGGCCACAAAACGCTGTACTGGGAGGGGGGACGCATGCGGGCGGTGCCACTGGGGCCTTCGGTACTCTCTGTGGGCCTACGAAACGCTGCACTGGGTGGGGGGTCGCATGCCGGCGGGCCACTGGAACTCCCTACGGGGCCACGAAACAAATACCGGACGGGGGGGAAGCATGCAAGCGGTGCCATTGGGGCTTGGAGGAGCTCACAATCAATGGGGCCGCAAAATGGGGTACTGGGCGGTGGCTGACGCATGCGGGCGGTGCCACTGAGGTCTTTTTGTGTAGCTCCGTATGCGACCACGAAACGCTGAACTGGATGGTGGCTGACGCATTTGGGCGGTCCCACTGCTACCATCGATAAAGCTCCCTATGGGGCCACGAAGCGCTGTACTGTGTGGGTGAAACGCAGGGACGAAGGGCTGTGCTGGGTGGTGGTTGACGCATGCGGGCGGTCCCACTGGGACCCACTGGGACCTTCGGTGGAGCTCCCTATGGGGCCACGAAGCGCTGTTCTGGGTGGGTGAAACGCAGGGAGGAAGGGCTGTGCTGGGTGGTGGTTGACGCATGCTGGCGGTTGACGGGAGGAGGGAGGGGACGAGGGAGGAGGAAGGAACGCGGGGACCGTCTCTTCAAAACGAGGACCCAACACTACAGGATGGTTGGGGAAAACGGGCTCTACGCGGATGCTTATGCCCACGGCGGCAGTGCCCAGGGGCGCACTGGGGGCTGGAGCGTCACGTTATGCTGGGTTTGGGGGGCGCGGGGAGGCCATAACGCGTGTTAAGCGGCAAGTGGGAGGAGCAGCAGCAGCAGGAGCAGAGAGGAGGAGTAGCAGCAGGAGGAGCAGGAGAACCCCTGGACACCTCGCACTCCGCTCTTGCCCGTCTCGCTCGCTTTATCTCTCTCTCTCTCTCTCTTTCTCTGTATATCTATATACATCTCTCTCTCTCTCCCTCTCGCTCTCTCGCTGTCTCTCGCTCTCTCTCTCTCTCTCTCCTTCTGTCTGCGCAGCTGTTGCATGCTCTGCGCCGCGTGGCTTGCTGTTTGATCACGCAGCTGTTCTTCTGGCTCAACGGGCCTGGCTCCCCGACATCACGAAGCAGCAACATGAAGTAAGGACAAAACGTCCCCGAGCGAGGAGAAAGAGCAGTGACCCATCCAGGTCTAGGCACGAAGGCCTCCCGCATGGAGCTCGAGCAGATGGGGGTCGGAGAAACGCGCCGCATCGCCGATGCATCGGCGACGACGAGCTGGAGAAGAGTAGGCTCCAGATCGCGCCGTTTCGCGGATGCATTGGTGATCTGGGGCGTGCCTCCGAACCTATGTGCTCCGGCCCCATGTGGGAGGCCTGGAGGTCAGGGTGCCCCCCTCCCCGAGGCTCCGTTTTAACCAGACCCAGAACCCCATCCATGTTCGGCCTTATTACTTTGAGGCTTTCCCCTGACCCCGTGACTGCACAGTTGACTGCATCCAATTTGATATGCTTCCCGCCGCAATCCGCATGCCGGAGCCGACCTGCCCCTGCGACGGCCAACAGGGCGTCGACGACGCGACGATTTCAGCTTCGGCGAAAACTCCCCCAGGGCGGCTACAGAGGCCTCCGAAGTCCGGGAGTGTTCCCCGGGGGTCTCCGGAGCTACCCCCTTCAACTTTTCTCGAGCCTCGACCCTCTAACCTCGTCCCTCAGCCGACGACGACGACGACGTCGACGTCGACGTCGACGACACCAACATCGACGCCAACGACGGCGATGACGTCGCCCATGACAGCGAAGACGATTTCGACTCCGAGTTGGACGACGACACCTTCGTCCAAAACGACGACGCTTTTGTCACGAGGACGTGAACGACGACGACAACCGCGACGACGATGACAGTGACGACGACGACGTCGGTGGCAATCCACGACTTGGACCGAAACACTGGGGCAGAACTCTGAGATATGCTTCCGATCCGGAGGTATTTGTGCTTAATGGAGGCGCCCATCCTCGATGTGAGAGCTGTTTGTCGAAAAACTACCCCGGCTAACTTTTCGACCTACCCCAACCAACGCTCCAGCCAATCTTGGCCAAGTACGGCAGGTTCGTGTCGTGCCGACTTCGGCGTTGGTTTCTGACACCGCGGGGATCGTTCCACGTTGAACGATCGGCCCCTTCCGAAACGTCAAATCGCTCATGAACATCGTGTAACCAATCCCTATCCCCACTCGCGTGGCCTGGGCCCCACTGGCCGGTTTACCCCCCTAGATGGGGATATGGGCAGCTTCTGTCTGATGTCGATGGGTATATGCCCAACGGGGGGAATGAGATGGTGGGGGTCTGGATGGGGATGGGGATGGGGATGGGGATGGGGATAGGTTCAACGAGACAACATCGACCGATTCTGGGCCACCTGCGGCGCTCAGCGTGGAGCTCCCGTGTCGGGGGTCGCCGCCGTTCGACACGACGCGAACCCTCCGCACCCTCCCGAGGCGGACGAGGCGCTCGCTCCCTGGCAGTGACGGCCCGGCCCCCGCGGCAGGGGGGGGGGCCTGCCCACGCCTGCGCGGCGGTGCCGCTCCAACACCACGAGGTGGTTGACCTTCAGGAAGGCGCCGGCGCCCTGGGGTCGGCTGCGCGCAAGAGCGACCTCTGGCCTGTGATGCTGGCGTCTCAATTTTGGGGGTCCCGAATCGGTGCGGTGAGGCACCGGGCGGTGACCCCGGGATTTTTCTGGCCAGGCAAGGTTTCCCTCTCAAGGCCCCTCCAGAAGGCTCCGCGGCGAGGTTCGCGCGAATCCCATCCTGCGCCCACGAACGACAAGGGGATCCACAGCAAATCGGGAAGTCCCGAACCAATATGCTACCACTGGTGCTGCAATACCTCGCCCTCTGCTGTAACGGCATGAAACCCTGAAAGCCCACCGCGGCACCTGCGCGAGAAAAATATCACATCTACAATAGCGGCACTGAGCTTCCGATTTTTCCGTGGACGCACGCAACCGAACATTGCAACGAAAAGCTGGCCACGAACCTGTTGCGCCACGGCATGCGCGGCGCCGTTCACGGGGGGGACGAAGGCTCGAATGGCGAAATGATGCACCTCATGCTGCGATCTTGCGTCTCGCCCCCCTCGTCCCGACCTCGCGCCAACGCCACCCGGCGGATGCCAACCCATGCGCGGCGAGCACCGCACCTGCAATACGGCGTATTCAACATGCTGAAACATATAAGAATGCCGTCTCAGTTTCATCCAGTAACTCATGTCAGGGGGCCGCGCCATGCTGACCCGACTCCGACCCTGGGGGGTCAACGACGCGGAGCGCGGCAGCGGCTAGCGACCGTGATGGGCGAGGTGGGCACTGGCCAGGACGGGGGCCGGGACAGGGCGGCCACGAAATCCCGGAAATGTCACCACACCGTTTTGGGACCGGGGGTCACCGCACGGTCTTGTGACTCGTCAACCCACCGACGCTCGGGACATCCTCAACAAAAAACACCCGAATCCCAACGCCGGGCGGTGACCCGTTTCAACTTGTTCGGGATTCCGTGCTGGCGGAACCAGGCGTGCGGAGCAAACTCCTTCGGCGGCCTAGGGCCACCTCCAAGGAGGTGACAGGGCCAAAGGGGGCGCCTGAGCGACCGACTGGGCGCGCCACGACGGGGCATGCACCCTCGTGGGGCATGCGCCTCGTCGAAGTGCCCTTCTGGCCACCGCCGTTGCCATTCTATGCTGCTCGCTCTGCTCTTAGGAGGGGGAGGGCGCCGAGTGGAGGAAACCAGACGAGGTGGAGGAGAAAGGAGGAAGAGACGAGGGACGGGAAGGGGGGGAGAAGGAAGGAGGAGAGGGATAGAGGAGGAGAGGGGGGACGAGGGAGATAAAGAAGATGAGAGTTTTGCTTGCCCCGCGAACCTACGTTGCATCCAACCACCCAGCGGAGGGTGCCCCAGGATGAGCGCCAGAGTGCTCTCACAACGCACGCCAGCATACTCGCAGCGGTCTCATCCAAGATGTCGCCGCACTACTGCATCAAAAAACGAAACAGACAAAACCACGCGCGCAGGTCGGGCGACAATCTCGCGCGTTAAGCAGTGCGCCACGGCCCAGACAAAACGCGCGTGCGGGGCCAAGCGCAGAGTGCCTGAGCCCCGCGCTACATGCGACCACTGGGGCCCAAGCTGCGCGAACGACTGAACCATCCAGCACGCGCCAAACTCACCGCACCGTGCTCTCACCGCACCATTTTGGGACCTCCAACACTTCTTTCGAGCCGGGCGGTTTCGCCTACCTTCGGGCCCCGGGACCTACACATATCGATCCGTCTCGACACATGACGCAGAAAGATGGGGTCTGGGGCTCCGGGCGTGATTGTATACGATGTTGCGATCTTCCCAACGACGGCTCTCAGGGTCGCAGGAGTGGCCTTGGTGATGTGCGGCTCCCGGCGGGCGCGGAGAGGCCAAGCCCGAGCGCGGAGGCCGCTGCTGTCGCGTCGCATTCAAAAGCATCTTGGGGGCCCTTGGGGTGCCCGCACCGAAAGTCACCGCGGCGGAAGGTCACTCCTGCGGGCATCGGGGATGGAAAGACCCCCCTTTAGTAAAACGTGGTTTAGTGAAAACGACCTGAGGCCTAAACCTGGCGGGCGCAAGCCTGGAAAATAACGGCCACGGCGCCCTCTCGAGAACCGAAAACGGACAATTCACTAAGCGACGTGTCACTGTTGCTGTCCACCCCCGAGTGTAGCCGATGGGGGGGGGCGTGGCCGCGGACGCGCCGGCCGCACAACGCTCTGGTCGCAGCGGAGGCACGGCGCGGTCCCAGAAGTCCCGGTCGTTCATGTCTAATCGTGCTCGTTTCTGATTGTGCTCGTTTCTAATTGTTCCTGGCCCCCTAGTGGCCAGGAAGGGGCCAAGGATAGAGCAATTAGAAATGAAGGGATCTTGGCCCCCGAAAGCGTCAAAGAACGTTCGAAGAATTAGCAATGAACCATGTGTCCATAGAAGTCCGACGATGTGACTTGTGAAGCTGGCGGTGTGTCCTCGATTTCGAGTGGATCCAGGGCGAACAGCAACTCGCACCTGGGAAAGGGTCGGGACCGCTGGGGGGCACACAAGTTAGAGCAACGGACGACCTCAAGCCTGTGATTGAGATACTTCGATTTTGTTCGGGCCCTCTGGGTCAGCTTTCGGCGACCACGTCGCCTCTTCTGGCTGGCCTGGGCTCAGATGGCTGTGGCCCTCCCTCCTGCCAGCACGCGCGCGCAGGAGCGGGGAGGGAAGGTGAAAGGAAGGTAATGCCTGCTTGGGCCGCTCCACTTCGAGGAGCCGGCGCCGGACACGAGAGACGCTGTTGCAGTGCAAACATGGTCTTAGTCGCAGCGCCGGCGGTCGCATGGCGCGGTGGTAGCCCACGCGGGGTCGCTCAGGGGGAATCGTGCACAGGCGGGCGGGAGGCGGAGGTGGGCGGCCGCGGAAAACAGCAGGCCGCACACGCCGGGAGCGGGCGTGGGGCAAGAGTGGCCTCTGGCGAGAGAGAGCGGCCTGGTCGACCGCTGCGCGCGATGCGGCAACAGCGGCCTGCGTGTTCGGAGTTGGCGTCCCCAGCCCCCCCGAAAAGCCGCGCACCCAAGGGCGCCCTGGCGAAGGGTCGCCCGTACGCGTAGCAGAATGAGGACGGCGACGACGATGACGATCTCAAACATTCATCGTCTCGACAAAAAAGAAATGCGGCGTTTTTGTTCGCTGTGTTCGGACTCCGCGGCCGTCTGCGGAATTTGGGGGCCGTCAAAGAAGCCAGGAAAAAACGCCAGCCCTTGGGGGAAAGGATCATGACTTCCCCAGGACCTCGTGCTGAAACATCGGGACATCCGATGTCTGTGATCGCGGATCGGCGGAGGGGGGAGGGTCCGCAGCACATCAAGAGAAGCTCAGGGCAGGCGCGCGGCGCGGCGCGGACGTACAGTACTGAACTGGTCCTTCATGGCATGAGAGAGTTCTTTGGCCGCTGCCGCATGCAACAGGCACAGCTTCGAGCGTACGTAGGCAAAGTCGTTCCCGACGACGACGACGGCGGCCATGGCGACGACGACGACAAAAGGTCTCGGCAATTCTTGGGCCTCCTTGGACGCCCGTCGCCACGGCCGGATCCGCTTCGAGACTCTGGTTAGGACGCGTCCAGCCAGAGGTCCAGGGGGCGGGGACTGTTTCGAGGATGGAGGCCTGAAGATCGAGGCTTTTGAGCGCCTCTGGCTCTTCCCTTCGGCACTCACGGGCCTCCCTGAACCTCCGGAGGCATCGGAGCTGTGGAGACCTCCGCAGGACGAAGACGGTGACGCGACGTCGCCGACGACGACTTCGTTGACGACGACAACCTCGACGGCGGGGCAGCGGCGGGCCCAGGCGGGGGCGGCGGCGAGCGCGGGCCTGGCCGCCAGAGGTCGGATCTGCTTCCGAGTTGAGCCTGGGGACGGCAGAGCTCGACGTCGTCGCTGTTGTCGCCGCCGTCGTCATTGACGCCGTCGACGTCAACGTCGTCTTTGACGCCATCGCCATCGACAACCTCATCGTCGTCCAAGCTGTCGCCGTCGTCCTCGTCGTCGGCGTCGAGTGGTCGTCGTCGACGCTGTGGCCGAGGTGGCAGTCGTCGTCGTCGTCGTCGTCGTCGCCGATATCCTCGTCGGCATCGCCGTTGATGTCGGATGCGTCCATGCCATCACCGCGCTGTGGTCGAAGTCGCCACTGTCGTCGTCGTCCTCGTCGTTGTGGCTGTCTCGTTGTCGTCGATGTCTTCGTCGTAGACGAAGTCATCACAATCGTCGTCGCCGACGTCGCCGGAGACGTCATCGCCGTCTGCGCCATTGTGTCGGTGATCATAGGGGGTTAGTATGACGGGGGTCGTCCTTTTGATCTTAGAGGTCGAAGAGAGACAATATGCGCCCCGCGCATTTTAAGATTCGGGGGGGACCACCTCGGCAGGCCACTCAGTTGGACCTGGCTTCAGCTCTCATGTCGGCAATCTGGATGATTCGAAGGAAAAGGGTCTTCTGACGCGGATGTGGATGTGGCTGGGATGTGCATTAACCTTTGGCTTGTGGATTCGGTGGGAGGGGAGCGAGTCCGAGACCCCGGGGCATGGCCCAGAGGCCAGCTTTTCATTCAGCCTGGTGGTAATGGGGGCTGACCTAAATGGGGGGAAGAAAAGGGCTCCTTCAGGGCTCTTTCTCTTCATCCCCCATCCAAGTCATCCCCCACTGCCACCCGCCCGATTCATCCTGAGTCGGTTTCTGGCTGCCTCGGGAAACTCGGAAAGGGTCCCCGGACGGCCCCCGGGAGGCCGCGCACGGGGGGGGTGCCAACAACAAGCAGCAGAAACCAACTTCCCCTCGAGACAACTTTTCCTTTAGGGCGATCGTCCTACTCCTCCATGCATAACTTGCCTTCCAGACCTCCCCGAGACTGTCTGCGTTTCGACCAGAAGTTCGAAGGCAACCCAGCCGTGGGCGCCGAAGGCGCTCTCGTTCGCGACATCTTCGCACTTCCCTCCGACTGGAAAAGGGAGCTATAACGACAACAATGGCTCCCGCTCTGCCGCTTGTACTCCTGCTCCGAGTCCACCTCCTGCAATTCTCTCTCGTGCTCCATCCCTCTCCCTCCCCTTTGTCCCTTCCCTCCTCCCGTTCTTACCCTGTTTCAGCGGCTGCGCCAACTACACGCGGCAGGATCCCCAAGGGGGGTACAATCGAAGACGAAGAGGGCGGGTATCGAGGGTTTGGGATATACGTGTAAAAAAAGAGGCGAGCAGATCGGAGTGAACAGTCGTAAAATGATCGTCGTCAGCGTCGTCGACGTCGTCGTCGTCGTCGCCGGCCACTCCTCCCCGTTTCTGCTCACCCCCCTTTTTCTCCTCCCCCTCCTCCATTCGGGGGCGGCCAAGAGGGGGCGTCCAAAAGGGAGGGGGGCGCAAATTATGGCCGGCGGCATGTGCGCGGCCCAGGGGGGGGGGCCAGGAACGTTTTGAAATAAGGAGAGGCGCCATGAGAACTGGGAACTATCAGGGACCACGCCATGATATCCACCCCCCCAGTCATCCCCCCCCTCTTGGCCGCCCCCGACCATCCTTCTCCTCCACCTCCTCCATGGCGGCCGATCATTCCTGAGCTGCCCTTGAGCAGCCCAGGCCGGGAATGTACCCGACGCGACGGACCTCCTCGCGCCGCCGGGGAACCCAAGTAGGGCCTTCAGAGGGCCGCCAGCAGCCGTCCGCGAGATGTCGCCGGCGCGCGCCGCGAGCCACTCGCCAGAGGAGAGAAGAAGGAGGCGCCAGAGTGAGGAGAGGAACGGGGGAGAGGGAGGCGAGGGAGAGCGAGGGGAGGTGGGAGAGTGTCGGGGGGGAAGAGGAAGGGGGACAAGAGGAGGGGACAGGAGAGAGGAAGAGAGGAGGAGGAGGAGGAAGAGGAGGAGGAGGAAGAGGAGGAGGAAGAGGAGGGGAGGGCGAGGAAAGATAGGAGGACAGGGAGGACAAGGAGGAGGACTGAGGATCGAGGAGAGGGACGAGGCGAAGAGAAGAGCACAGAGGAGGGTGCAGAGTGAGAAAGCATGCTAGGAAGTACCTGGGGGCTCCTTTCCACCATTACCATATGCATCTTCATGTCTTGTTTGTTCGTTTTGATCTGGGATCCCGCTTTCTGTTCGGTTCTTCTCGTTTCAAACTATGAAGCCGTTTCTCCGCGTTGAAAACTATGACTTTTCACCGTTGCTGGTGACCGCCTTCTCTCCGTATTCACCCGTGGCGGGTTCCAGCCACGCGATCTGCCCGAACCCCAACACCTGCGGGGAGCGGCCGAAGCCCACTGCCCACGCCCGCAGGCAACCCTCGCCCTGTGGCTTGGCGACGGCGGCGGAAGCCCGAATTGCGCCGCGACAAGCGGGCGAAGGCGCTCGAAGGCAGTCGCAGGAGGTCGAAGGTGGTTGAAGGCGGGCGACGGCGGAGAAGGCGGCGGCACCCAGGCTCTACCTCGTCATGTCGCCGGGCGGAGGCGGCGGAATCCCGGCCGCGATCTCCTGTCGGCGCCGAAGGCCGGCCAGGCGCTCAGTCCGAGAAGAACGGGTTCTTCTGCGTCCTCGGGGCCTTCCAGGTGTTGCTGGAAATGCCCCTGGCCCAAGGTGGCCCCCAGGATTTCCAAGGAGGCCCCCACGGCCTCCAGAGCAGAGCACCCCTCACGATGGGCTCATGGGGCCCCTGAAAGGAAAGGAAAGCCGGGGGCACCTTGGGCCAGGGGCACCATTAACAACCCCCGAGCCTTCTCCGCGGCCTGTCGGCTACACCGAGGAGTGACCCTGGGTAAGAGTGACCTTTGGTGCGCGGTGCGCGGCTTGTGGGCCGCGGGGGGGCCAAACACTAGCGCGCAAGACGCTACAATCGCATCGAGTTCGGCGATCGGGGCCATCCCCGTGGGCCCGCACCAAAGGTCCTTCCGGCGAAGGGTCACTCTCACGTGCAGTCGACGCCTGCTCCAGCGCCTGCACCTCGCCCGGCGTGAGACGCCAGCCGCAGGCGCCGAGGTTCTCCTCCGCCTGCCCTGCGCTCCTGGCGCCCACGATGGCGCAGCCGCCCCCCGCCTCCAGGGCCCAGTTGAGCGCGACCTGCGTGGCGCGGTGCGCACACCCCAGGGTTCCCGTCTGAGCCCGTTCGGCGTCCGAGACCATTCGGCCGCCGAGCGGGCTCACGATCGAGTCCCGTCGGCGGCGGGACGGGCCCAATTCCCTCGACCCGGTCGGGACTGAGCCCGCTTGGCTGCCCATTCGGCGGCAGAACGGGCTCAGACGCCGAATCGGCGCAGGAGGGAATCGTGGGGCAAGGGGGTGTCGCGAGGGGGGCGGCCTTCTGAGAAAGGGGAGGGAGGGGGGGGGCTTCTTACAAGGCGGGTGCCTCCTTGGCAGGGCCTGGGAGCTTCTGGGAAGCCTCCTGGGGAGCCGCCCGCGCCCTTCCAAGAAGGCCCCAGATGCCCTCCGAGAAGCGCCTCTCTCGCCCTCCTCCTGTAGAGCCCAAACCCCGTATGTCGGAGCAGGGCGATAGGAGACAACGGCAGCTCAAGATCGCTCCCCTGACCCCTCCCGGGATCCAAACGCTCCCGAGCTGCGTCCAGCCGTGGCGACGAGGAGGCCCCCCGAAGGCCAACTACCGCTACCGTCTCAATGCGCCCTCCTCTTCTGAGCGTGCGCGACGCGCCAAAATGGCCTGCGCCGGGGTCTTGCCCCGGGCGCCCGCGATCTCGCGCAGCAGCCCCAGCAGCCGCTGCAGGCCGGCGTCGGCCAGCAGCGCCGAGAACAGCAGCGCCCGCACGGGGCTCTTCGGCAGCTCGGCTGGCGCGCCGTCGGCGCCCGCACCGTACCTGGGGAAACATCACCCCAACAGAGCACCCGAATCGCAGCAAGAGATGCAGCCGGGACAGGGGTGGGTGAGAGCACGGCCATACGCAGACAGCGTATCGTTTAAAGAGCATGCTGCCAGGACAAGGTTTGAGAGCAAGGCAAGTTGCACCGTCGCAGACTTTTTTTCCGAAGGATCCTGCAGCCGTGACAAGGGTGAGGGCACGGGGATGTGCACCGGAGGGTTTAAGGGAATCGTGGCCGTCCAGACCAAAAATGGAGCTGGCATTGAGAGCACGATCCCTGCAGACATTGAGACATGTCAGACGAAACGGAGCCAGGACAGGGGAGAGAGCACGGTGCGCTGACAAAACGAAAACGTGGCCGTCCGAACCAACAACAAAACCAGCATTGAGGCGAGAGCACGATTCCGGGATGCATCCTGAAGAAGTCTCAGTCGAAACGGCTGCCGGACTGGCTGGACAAGGGTGAGGGCGCAGCCATGTGTTGTTCGGGGGATCGTGGCCGTCCGTTCCAAAAGTGTGGCTGGCTTGGAGGCGAGGACACGCCTCCCGAGTCAATCGTGGGGGCGTCTCAGGCGAAACGGCCGCTGGCACCCAGGCAGGCACGGGCTCCCCGCCCCCCCCCTTGTGGGACTCTCCCATGGCCTTGTTTTAGAATAAGGTTTGAACCCTCTCGCGAAACACTACCAGGGACAGAAACACCGATACCGCTACTCGCTGGACCTCTCCCGGGGCGCGCTTTGACCAGCATCCCACCAGCCCTCCGGGCGTCGGTGGTTTAGAGCGTTTCCTCTTCCACCCCTCCTTCTTCCCCTTCGGGGAGGGGTTTACCCCTCCCCCTACCCCCTCCCCACTGACCTGGACAGGGGGGGCCGCGGGTAGTTAGAGCGTCCAAGACGGCCCAACACGGCTCCAAGAGGACCTCAGGGAGCTCAAGATGACCTCCAAGATGGCTCAAGATAGCGCAAGATGCCTCAAGATGGTCCCCATGATGTTCCAAGACGCCCCAAGAACTCCCCAAGACGGTTCCAAGTGCCCACAAGAGCATCATTAGGATGCATCCAAGAGGCCAAAATGCTTCAAAACCCTAGGGAAAATCAATGTTTTTGGTGTTCTCACTTTTTCGCTTGCGATGCACATCCGACGCGTCAAGATGGCTCCAAGATGGCTCAAGATAGCTCCAAGAGGGGCCCAAGAGAGCCTCAGGATGGCTCCAAGAGCGGCCACGAGCGCTCCAAGAGCGATCCAAGAGGGGTCCAGGAAACGATTTTTGGAGCTCCTGGGGGGGGCCTGTAATTAGGGAACCCCACTTCTTTGCTCGATTTCCTCCACGATGGCCGCAAGAGGCCCCCAGGATGCCCCAAGAGGCCGCAATGGCCCCAAGATGGCCCCAAGAGGCCCCCCAAAAGGCCCCCAGGAGGCCCCCAAGAGACCCCCAAGAGGCCCCAAGAGACCCCCCAGAGGCACCCAAGGTGCTCCCAGAGGCCTTTTTACTATGGTGTGGGCCCCATTTTGGCCTTCTGATGGGGCAAAGATGGCCCCAAGAAGCGCCCAGGAGGCCCCCAAAGGCCCCAAGATGGCCCCAAGAGGCCCCAAGAGGCCCCCAGGAGGCTCCAAAGAGGATCCCGAACGGCCCACAGAGGCCCCCCCCGAGGCACCCAAGACGCCGAAAAGCCCCTCAGGACGACCCTCTACTCGCCAGGCGCAGGCGGAAGCGCAGGCGGCGAGCAGTCACGGTCGGGCTGCGGCCGCGACTAAATTCCCGGGCGCGCGCGGGGGCCGCGGATCAGGCGGCGGGGGGGGGCAGCAACCCAGGGCGTCTGAGAGGCCAGGCGGTCGTGCAAACTGCAACCCAGGGAGTCTGAGGAATCAGTCACCTGAGGCGGTCGTGCAAGCTGCAACCCAGGGAGTCTGAGGGGTCAGTCACCCAGGAGCAAGCCAGGCGCGGCCAAAATGGCGCGCAGTGCGTTCCCAGTCGTGGTCGTGCCGAGACAACCGCGTGGTGGTGGGAACCGAACTCCGTGCGAGAAAGTCAGTCCAGGGAGTCTGACGGGTATGAGCAGACCGACACTGGTTGACGTCGTGGGCTGGTGGGGATACGCGAAGCGTCTAGAATTTCGAATTTCAAGGCGGATTCAGCCGTGGCGACGAGGGATTCTTTAGCTGCATCGGTACCTCTTCCTCCTCCCTCCTCCCTCCTCCCTCCTCCCTCCTCCCTCCTCCCTCCTCCCTCCTCTTCCTCCTCCTCCTCCCTTCTCCCTCCTCCCTGCCCCCTCCTCGCTCCTCCCTTTCCTCCCCCCTCCTCCCTGCCCCCTCCTCGCTCCTCCCTTTCCCTCCCGTTTCCTCCCTCTCCCTCCCTCCTCGGAGCGCCTGCCCGCCAGGAGGCCGAGGCACAGCGGGCTGTAGGCCACGAGGCGCACGCCGAGCTCCCGGCAGACCTCGGCCACGCCGCTGCGCCGCTCCTCGGACAGCAGGGAGAACTGCACCTGGTTCAGCGCCAGGGGCACGCCCCGCGCCTCCAGCGCCGCGGCGGCCCTGCGGAGGCCCCGCGGCCCGAAGTTGGAGAGGCCCACGGCCCGGCAGAGCCCGGCCTCGTAGCAGCGGCACAGCCCCTCGAGGAGCGCGTCCTCCTGGAAGCCCAGGCCGTAGCTGCGCGGGCTCCTCGGCACGGGGAGACAGCGGGTCGACAAGGGCCCGGGGCTGTTCTCCCCCGGGGGTGAGCCTTTCAGCCCCACGGCTGGCTCTCTGGCGGTCCCGGGGCCCGCGGAGGGCCCCTATAGAGGGCCCGAGAGCGGCGAGAAGGAGCTCGGGGCACGGTTCCCTCGGGACCCGGTTCCCCCATGGCGAGCTCCAGTGCATCTGCGCCAGGTCCACCGGGCGGCCCACCCGCGCGTTGCTCGCCCGCACCGCCTCCACCATGGACTCGGGCGTGAGCCGCCAGGGGTAGGCCGCGAGCTTCGTGGCCAGGACCACGGGCGAGCCGCCCCGCTGGAGGCGGGCGCGGCTGAAGCGGCCCAGCAGGCGCTCGGCCTGGCCCTCCAGCTCCCCGGTGCCGTAGCTGTCGCCGGTGTCGAACCAGGTGGCCCCGCCGTCCGCGAACGCGTCGAACACCCCGGCGAGGCGGTCGTCGTCAGCCTCGTCGTAGCCCCAGAGGAGCTTGTTGCCCCACTGCCACGTGCCCACGCCGAGCTGCGAGAGCTCCAGGCCCCCCTCTGGGCCAGGAAGGGGCTGGCGCCGAATCGACAGAGCATGTTGGATCGCTTCTGGTGCATCGAGTCGGGCCGCGTCGGCAAGGAGTAGTCGGAAGCGAGTCGAGTCGAACCGAGTCTGCCGGGTCAAGGTGCTCGACATCGCCATGCGGGCATCGGCGGCCTCGGATCTGGGCATGAAGGATGCAGATCCTGGGTCCTCGGCCCCAGATTCGTTCTGTGGCTGTCCCTGGGCCATGGGAGGGCCCGGGAGCCCGACCAAGGAGACAAACTACGTTCCCTTTTTTCTGAAGACCCCATACAATCGAACCCGGTCAGCCAGAAGTGAAGCGATACCGAACCATGTGCTCGGTCTGGAGACCATCCTGGAGCCACTCGCTCCACTTATAAGTCGATGCTGCGTCGAACGTCCGTCGATTTGAGTCCAGCTTGAGTCGACCTTGAGTCGAACTTCAGTCGAGCTAGAGTCGACGTCGAATCGAAATATATGTGGCCGAACATGTGGCCGCGCCCATTGTAGCGTTGCCCACGTGCGGCAATCACACACAACCGTGCTGGTGGGCATGTCGTGGGACCCCTCTCAGGACACCCCAGGGGGGAGCTCTCAAGAGCCGAAGGGGCTGGTGCGACTCCGTAGTGGCACCGCGACCCCACGGGGCTATGTGACCTCGTGTTGGCCATGACCGCCGCTCCAGGACAAAGGCGAATAATATGGTCGGCGGCAGATCCGTGAGGCGGCCTCCAGCAACTAGATCAATTATCTTCCTGCTTCGCGCTCCGTTAGGCGCGATTATCTTCGCACTTTCGCGCCGCCTTCACCCCAGAACAAGATGAGGGACTCGCGCCTCGCTCTGAAATCGCCCAGACCGCGAAGCGCGACTCATTTCGCACCCTCCTGGTGGCCACAACAGCAATGTCCCCCAAACGAGCACATCGGCTGCACGCAAGAATGACCCTAGGCAAGAGTGACCTTTGGTGCGCGGCCTGGGGGGGGGACCTTTGGGGACACCACCAGGCGCGCAAGCCGCTGCTACCGCATCGCAATGAACGACCAGTGGGAGAGGTCCACTGTGCCCGCGCCAGGGGTCACTCCAGCGACAGGTCACTCTTTACGTGTAGCCAGGCAGGGTCCCCCGAACGAGCATCTCAGAACCAGGCGGACAGCCGGGCGCCGCCTTGGCGCGCAGCAGCGGCACCCGCGGAGGCAGCACCGCCCTCGCGAGGGCGTCCAGCGCGGAGGCCAAGCATCGCCTCTGCGCGCGGCCGTCGCGCGGCGGGGCCCGCGCGGGCGGGGCGCTGGCCCGTGGGCACCCCCGCTGGCACAGGAGCGACGCCGCCACGGGCCACGCCCAAGCCCACCGCCGCGGGCGCCTGCCGGCCGCCATGCGGGGGCGAGCATCGGGGAACCGATGGCACAAACGTGAGCTTTTGGGGGTCCGCGCGGATTGCTCCGATCGGCGCTGCAGCCCCCTGGCGGCGCCTCCGGCGCCGCTCCTGGCGCGCTCCGCGCGCCAGGGAGGAGAGTCCAGCGCAGACCCGGGGCATCCGCGCAGACCTCGGAAAGTCAAAAGGTCAAGCTTAGGCCATTGCTTGCTCCCCGAGACCACGGCCCGGCCGGGTCGGCTGCACGGCACGAGCGGCCTAGAAGGCGAAGGCCCAGACCTCCTCGCGCCGGGAAGGAATCACGGGTAAGTCGACTTTCGTCTATACCACCACCATAGATCAGGAGCGGCTGACCTGTGGTAGTGGTCTGCTTGGCATGCAGAGCACGACGGTGCTGTGGTCGTCATGGGACACCGACAGCGGCGCATGTCAAACATGGTCGGAAGTCTACATCGATAGGGCCACGGAAGACCTCTGGCATTATATCTCTAGCGTGCTGACACGGCAATAGCAGCGCGACGACGATTCTACAGACGAGAACGCTATTCTTGCCCCCCCGTTACGACCGTAAAGGGGGGGGGGTCTGGCCGCCATGCGGGGTAATGGTAACGTGGCGGGCTCGGGCATGGCAGTAGCAATACTAGCAGTCAGTAGTAAGAGCACGGGCGACAGCCACGAACATGACGAGGACGACAACGACAACCAGAGGCGACGACTACCGCAACGGCGACGGATACGAACACGACGAAGACGACAAGGACCGGCGAGAACGACTACGACGACGACGACCAGCGGCGGTGACGACGACGACGACGACAAGCTGCGACGATAACGACGACCGGCAGTGACGTCGACGACGGGCGGCGGCGACAAATATTCGCAGTGAGAGTGAAGGAAAAGGTATAGCGAAAAAATGGGAAACGACACAAGCACCCGAAGTAATCGTGTTAGTGCTGTCAGTCGTTGTACTACAGAACTACTACTATAGAACTGCCGTAAGGAGTACTGCCACTACGGAAACTACATGTGCGACGACAGCGGATGTTATGATATACTGTACTAACATGTGTACGTGAAGTGGTCGTGGTGACGTTGGCGGATACAGTAGCAGTGGCAGTGGCAGCGGCAGCAACAGCAGCAGTAGCATTACGGGTAGTAGTAGTGGTAGTAGTAGTGGAAATTATAATCGGCATAGAAGTGGTAGAAATAGTAGTCGATGTATAAGCAATAGCAGTAGTAGTCGTAGAAAACTAATAGTTGTTGTAGTAGTCGTAGAAGTGGTAGTAGTAGTAGTAGGAGTAGTAGTAGTAGTAGTAGTAGTAGTAGTAGTAGTGGTAGTAGTAGTAGTAGTAGTAGAAGTAGAAGTGGAAGTAGTAGTAGTAGTAGTAGTAGTAGTAGTAGTACTAGTACTGGTAGTAGTAGTAGTAGTAGTAGTAGCAGCGGTAGTACTAGTAGTAGTAGTAGTAGTAGTAGTAGTAGTAGTAGTAGTAGTAGTAGTGGTAGTAGTAGTAGTAGTACAAGTGATACTGGTCTGTGTAGAAGTCGTGGCAGTATGACTGTTAGTAGTAGTAGTCGCCGTGGTCGTCGTGGTAGGATTTGTAGTTTCAGCGGTAGTAAGGGTCGCGGCAGTACTAGTAGTCTCGGGTCTAGCCGTAGTGCTGGTAGTGGTAGTAGTAGTAGTAGTCGTAGTAGTAGTAGTAGTAGTAGTAGTAGTAGTAGTAGTAGTGGTAGTGGTAGTGGTAGTGGTAGTAGTAGTAGTAATAGTAGTAGTACTAAAAATAGAAATCGTAGTACTAGCAGTCGTAATAGTAGTACTGGTTGCGGTGGTGGTAATGGTAAGAGCAACAGTAGTAGTCGCAGTATAATATTACAAGAAGTAGTAGTAGTAGTAGTAATAGTAGTAGTAGTAGTAGTAGTAGTAGTAGTAGTGCTAGTAGTAGTAGTAGTAGTAGTAGTAGTAGTAGTAGTAGTAGTAGTAGTAGTGGTAGTAGTGGTAATAGTAGTAATAGTAGTGGTAGTATTAGTAGTAGTAGTAGTAGTAGTAGTAGTAGTAGTAGTAGTAGTAGTCGTAGGAGTCAACAAATAATAATAGCAGTGGTGAAAGTACTACTAAAGTAGGGAAATTAGTCGTATTTTTCGTGCTGGTAGTGGTGGTCGAAGTAATTGTAGTCGTCGACGTAGTAGTAGAAGGAATACTAAAGGCAGTCGTAGAAGCACTCGAAGTAATACTGGTAGCACTAGAAAGTGGATGCAGTAGTAGCAGTAGTGATCAAAGGGCCCCGGTACAATCAACAACACTTGTGGTCGTCGTACTACTATAGTAGTAGTGCTAGTAGTCCTGGTAGAACCAGTAGATGCGATTACAATAATCAAAGCCGTCGTAGTAGATGTAGTAGTGGTAGTAGTAGTAGTAGTAGTAGTAGTAGTAGTAGTAGTACCAGTAGTAGTAGTAGTAGTAGTAGTAGTAGTAGTAGTAGTAGTAGTAGTAGTAGTAGTAGTAGTAGTAGTAGTAGTAGTAGTTAGTAGTAGTAGTAGTAGTAGTAGTAGTAGTAGTAGTAGTAGTAGTAGTAGTAGTAGTACAGTAGTAGTAGTAGTAGTAGTAGTAGTAGTACGTAGTAGCAGTAGCAGTAGTAGTAGTAGTATAGTACCAGTTATGGCAATAGTCCTGGTGCTAAGGGGAAAAATAGTAGTAGCCGTAATAGTAATCGTATTCGTCGGAATAGGAGTAGTCGAAGTAGTAGTAGTAGTAGTAGTAGTAGCAGTAGTGGTAGTAGTAGTAGTAGTAGTAGTAGTAGTAGTAGTAGTAGCCGTAGTAGTAGTAGTAGTAGTAGTAGTAGTAGTAGTAGTAGTAGTAGTAGTAATAGTAGTAGTAGTAGTAGCACTAGTAGCTCTAGTAGTAGTAGTGGTAGTAGTAGTAGTAGTAGTAGTAGTAGTAGTAGTAGTAGTAGTGGTAGTAGTAGTAGTAGTAGTAGTAGTAGTAGTAGTAGTAGTAGTAGTGGTAGTAGTAAAACCAGTAGTAGCAGTGGTAATGGTGGTACTACATCCCCGTTAAACAAACTGTAACAGAAGTGGCACAAGGATGGGAGCCGAAAAATGTTGAATCCGACCTTGCGGGCCCATCGAATCAAGTGGCATCTGCCTGTCAATGTTACGTTGCGGGAAAACGTATCGTCTGCATTGCGCGTTGCACGTTAAACACCCGACTGGTGGGAGCGAAACCGCAAGGCAGAACGTGGAACCGCCCACGCCAGCGGCCCTGCTAGGGATGAGATTGGAAGACCACCCGGGCATTAAGTGGCGTCCGCCTGCCAATGTTGCCACTGGGCGCGCAAGCCAAAGTATGGCATGTCAATGACCTGGCCCGTGGTGTTGGCCTGCGCGCGCGGCCAACATTGAAAGACGAAGATCAATTAATGACCATTCCCCACATTCTAAGTGGGGTTATGATTTTCTCTACACCCGCGTCGCACCCGCGTCTCACCTCACACCTCCCCTTCTCTACACCCGCGTCACACCTGCGTTCCCACCTCACCTCCTCCTTCTCGCTCGTACAAACACCACACCACACCACGCCACATCGCACCACACCACACCACGCCACGCCACACACCACCACACCACACCACACCACACCACACCACACCACACCACACCACACCACACCACACCACACCACACTACACAACACCATCCGTGTGTGGCACTTTCTCGTCACTACAGGACGTGTGCAGGGAGTGGTCCCTCACCGCGGTCTCTATCCGCCCCAGGGTCGCAGGACGTGGCAGGCGTGGCACTTTCTCGACACCATAGGGGGTGCGCAGGGGTTGGTCTCTCACCGCGGCCGCTATCCGTGCC